CGTCGTCGTCGTCGTCGTCGTCGTCGTCGTCGTCGTCGATGCCTCGGTGTCTTCTTCTCACTCATCTCCTTAGTAGCAATCTTGTTTGTAATAAAAGTATTAGTCGCAGTATTGTTATTATTCATCGGATGTTTCTTCTTCGGGGAGATCGTATTATTCGTATTCGTATTATTCCTCTTCCTCCTCCTCCTCCTCCTCCTCCTCCTCCTCCTCCTCCTCCTCCTCCTCCTCCTTCTCGTCCTTCTCGTCTCCCTCCATCGTCCTCCTCCCTCGTCCTCCTTCCTCCTCCTCCTCCTCCTCCGCCTCCTCACCTCCTCCCTCCCTCCCTCCTCCTCCTCCTCCTCCTCCTCCTCCTCCTCCTCCTCCTCCTCCTCCTCCTCCTCCTCCTCCTCCTCCTCCTCCTCCTCCTCCTCCTCCTCCTCCTCCGTTGTGATCGTCGTCATCCTTCTGGGTCGGCGGCACTGGCCGTAAGGCCTTCACAGTGTCTGGATTCTGAGATCGAGAGATAGCTGGTGAGGCGGATCGACAGTGAGACCGATAGAGGCCGTGTTCGTAGCATTGAGACGCTTGTCCCGAGGGTTGTCCCGTCGCTGGTTCCACCCCCGTCCAGACCTCCTTGCCAGCCTCGTGTCGCGAGCTTCCTGGGAGCCAGATCCTGGGCCTGCGGCCAGAACGTCCCCTGCCTACCCCCGCGGGATAGGCTGACCCGCGGTCGCGCGGGGCGCGCAGCAGCCTGAACGGACCGCCTTCGCTGGACCTGGAGTACGAGCAGAGGTGGCTCAGGCAGCACCTCGGCGGCCGCGTGCTGGGGGGGAGCGGGGCGAGGCCGGGACGAAGAAGACGGGGGGGGCGCCCGACCCGCGACCCAGCCCCGGGGGCCCCCAGCCACCGCGACCCGCCGCAGGACGCCCGGAGGGCCGCGTGAGCCGCCGCGAGGAAGCCGAGTCCACGGCCGGCTGGACCCCCGGAGGGCGGCGGCTACGGGTGCTTACCCGATGCGAGCACGACGTGGGCGAGCCTCGTTCACCACAGCCCTTCCTGCCCGCAGTGCAGCCAACAGCTCCCGTCGCGTGCGAGTTCCAGCCAAGGTTGGATATATCCCCGGCCTCCTCCTTCTCCTCCTCTTCCTCTCATCTTGATTAGGATTGTTCTCTTCCTCTCCTCCTTCTCTCCTCCTCTCCTCCTTCTCCTCCTCTTCTCTCTCCTCTTCCTCTCCTCTTGTTCCATAATATGCATCGATGCATGTTTCCTCATCCTTCTCCGATCACCGTCGCCATCATTAATCACAACACAATCATCACGATCAATACCGGTGTCGTCATCACCATCCGCAAACCAAATCGGAAGCCATGCCCCAGCCTCTGGCACGGGGCCAGGGCAGAACGGACAGTTACAGAGGAACATGTGCACGCGCCCTGCTCTGCAGCGGGCCTGCGGTGCGCTGAGAGGAACGGGGAGAAAGAGGAGCAAGGGCCGGAGAGCAAAATGAATTGGGGGCCTCCTAGATGGGGTCCGAGTAGGTGGGGTCGCAGGATCGCGCCGCATCGACGTCGGCGATGTATCGGCGACGTCAACGTGAAGCAAATCGGACTCCACATCGAGCCGCATCGCCGATGCATCAGCGATGCGGCGCGATTCTCCGACTCCATCTACTCGACCCCATATAGGAGGCCTAGATGAACATCACGCCTCTAGGTAGTGTTGCGGTTACTTGTGCACGTGTACAGCCCATTGCAGCGGAGGGCGGCCGAGCCCCCGGCACAGGTGCCACTTTGCTGGCGCATTGTCCACCAGCTCGCTGATCAGATGCGTGATCTCCCGTAGGCTTGCAGATGCCTTTTGCACCGTGTCTCATTTAGGAAGCCCGCTTGCGAGGAGAAGTCTGTGGCGTTCGAAGCCCAAGACCAATATAAGAGCAGGATCCGCAGAATCCGTCGGAGGCCCGTCGCTTGGAATCTAGTAAGTGTACAAAAGGCTTGCCTGTAACAGCCATAAGCGTCCCACGTCGTATAGAACCTTGGGCACCACGATGGCGTCAGACAGGCAGGGCTTCCGAGCCTTCCGGATACCGGCGTGGTTCCAGAAATGTGTAGCAATTCATGAAGGGGCCCTGGGACACACAAATAAATACACACAAATAAAAAGATTCACCATATTCTCCGATATTTTCTGGGTTTTTGTCTTCCCCCCCACTTCCCATATTTTCCCATATTTTCTGGGGAATCGCCGATGATTTGTGTCTGTGTGTTTCTTTCCCTCCTGAATTCAAACACCCCCCCGTCTTATCCCAAACGACTTGTAACGTCAGGTGTGCTTTCAGAACCACGGTGCAAAAAAAGCAACCACGTGTACGGTCTGTCAGACATGACCAAGTAGTTGTACGGAAGGAACTCGCAGCATCCCAACACTATTTACAATGACTGCGACGGCCTTGTCCCAGTTTCAATCCAGGCCGTATTGACTGCCCACCCACGCAGGAGGTATATACTGCATGAATGCGCTCACGAACATCGTGCCGCCACCGTGGAATATGCCATTGCACACCACATTGGCTGGCTCTTGTTCGACCATGTGCACGGCGCGGTACTCTTGCCAACTTCGAAAGAACATCACTGTAAGAATCAGAACAACCGTAATCACAAGCAGCAGACATCATCAACACATTCAGTATCATCAATGCCATCATCGCGATCGTCAACGTCACTGTCATCATCGTCATCATGGTCAACATCGTAATCATCGTCGTGACCGTCATTTCCATCATCCTCCCTATCCTCCTCCTCCTCTCTTCCTCCTCTTCCTTCACTCTTTCCTCCAGCCACCCCACAACTGCCCGAGCGCGGCACGCCATGCTGAAGGCGAGAATCGCCGCCCCCACCATGAGCACGATCGGATTCTGGCCGCGGCGGCCAGCTGAACAAGAAGCAAAATCATCAACGCCATGATGTTCTGCGACAAAAAACAACAACAAGAACAACAATAACAACAGCAACAACAACAAGAACAACAATAGCAGCAGCAACAGCAACAGCAACAACAACACCATCAGCATCAGCATCAGCATCAGCATTAATATCATAAAATACCACCACCACCACCACCACCACCACCACCATCATCATCATCATCATCACCACCACCACCACCACCACCACCACCACCACCACCACCATCAGCAGCAGCAGCAGCAGCAGCAGCATCATCATCATCATCATCATCATCATCATAATCATCATCATCATCATCATCATCTTCAGCAGCAGCAGCATCGTCAGAAGCAGCAGCCTCATCATAATCACCATAGCCCATCGTCATCGCCATCGTGTTCATCAGAACCCTCCACATCATCCTCATCATCATCATCATCATCATCATCATCATCATCATCATCATCATCATCATCATCATCATCATCATCATCATCATCGTCACCATCAGCATCATCTTAGGCAGCAGCATCAACATCAGTATCAGCATCAGCATCATCATCAGCAGCATCATCACCATCATCCGAATCATCAACTGCATCATCACTACCAGCATCATCAACATCACCATCATCAGCATCATCATAAGCAGCATCAGCATCAGCATCGTCATCAGTATCATCATCATCATCATCATCATCCTCATCATCATCATCATCATCAGCATCATCATCAGCATCAGCATCATCATCATCAACAGCATCATCAGCAGCAACATCATCAGTATGATCATCGTTATCATCCGCATCATCCTCATCAGCCTCATCATCATCATCATCATCATCATCATCATCATCATCACCCTCATCATCAGCATCATCATCAACGTCCGCACCATCACCATCACCAGCATCTTCTTCATCGTGACCAGCATCATCACTATCATCACTAGCATCATCATCAGCACCACCACCATCATCACAAGCGTCATCAACTACATCACCATCGCCGACCTCAGCAGCAGCATCATCACCGTCGTCAAGCCCGACATCATCGTCATCGTCATCGTCGCTGTCATGATCGCATAGCTATCATTAGGGACACCGTCACCGCCATCGTGGGCGCGCCGTGGCGTGGCTCGTGGGCCCCGCCCCTGGCCACGCGGGGGGGGGGCCGCAGCGGCGCGGAGGGCGCCGCGGCGCGGGCCGCCTCCGCGAGTCGAGCAGGGGGCCGACTGCAGCGGGGGCCCGCGCCGGGAAGCGCGCTGCGCATCTCTGGGGTGCCCTCGGGCTCCTCTTGGGCTTCGACGGTCCCGCGAGGGAGAGCGCGGCGCTGCCGCGCCAGGAGTCGGTGGGCGTCCTGGGGTCTCCGGGTTGGGTCTCGTGTGGAGGGCCTCTTGCGGTCGAGCTCCGACTGTAGGGGATCGACTGCAGGAGCGACTTGCCCCAGGAGTGATTTGCTTGTGGACTCTGCGAAGATACGTAGCATGATCCGCAGATATGTACACGAACGTTGTACGTCCTTGTTTCGCAAAGTCTACCCGGAAAGCGAGTTTCTTGGGGTACATCAGTTCTGTAGTCGATCACCTATTCGAACGAGCGGGGGCCCGGCGCGGCCGGAGGCGGTGTTGAGCTGATGGCTCGCAACGGTGAGCTGCGAGACGCGGAGGGCGGCAGCGAGGGGCAATCCGTGCCCCGGGGGTGCATCCCTGGGCGGGAAGGGCCTCGACCTCACGATGGATACGGGCCGTGCTTTGAGGGTGCGCCGCACGGAGCGTGTCCGTGCGACTGCGCATCCACGGGATCTCGTCCTGGAAGCCAGCGGGGCGGGCTGGCAGGGCTGTCCGCCGTCGGCCCCGATGATGGGTCGATTCTCCACCGCCGCTACCATTGGTAGGACGGGGGAGAAGGGCAGCTGTGGAGGTCCTCCTCCTCCTCCTCCTCCTCCTCCTCCTCCTCCTCCTCCTCCTCCTCCTCCTCCTCCTCCTCCATCTCCTCCTCCCCTTCCCCCTCCTCCCCCTGCTCCTCCAGCTCCTTCCTCCTCCTCTCCTCCTCCTCCTCCTCCTCCTCCTCCTCCTCCTCCTCCTCCTCCTCCTCCTCCTCCTCCTCCTCCTCCTCCTCCACTCCTCCTCCTCCTCCTCTCTCCCCTTCCCCTCCTCCGCCTCCTCCTCCTCCTCCTCCTCCTCCCCTCCTCCTCCTCCTCCTCCTCCTCCTCCTCCTCCTCCTCCTCCTCCTCGGGTCGCCTGGCGGCCCCCAGGCAGCTCCAAGGGGGCGGGGGCCAACAGAGAGACAGACACGCCTTCCCCCCTCCAGGACTCGGGGCGAGTCTGACCGTGGCGACGAGCCCCCCCGCCCCCACCGGCGGCCCTTCAGAGCGAGGACGAGTCGAGGGCAGTGGCGCTGGTACCCCCCCCTCCTCTGAGAAGATCGAAGCAACGAAGGACCGATCCGGGCGCCAGGGAGGGCGCGCCAGGGAGGCGGGGGCGCGCTCCGCGCGCCAGGGAGGGGGTCCCAGCGCAGATCCAAGAAATCCGCGTGGAGCGTCGAAATTCTGTGCTCATGCCGTTCTTTTGCCTCCTCGAGACAGTGGGTGGGGAGCTCTTGCGGGTCGGTCCTGCTTCTCCAGGCCCCCGCCCCCCAGGAGGCCCCAAAAGAGCGAAGACGAATCAAGGGCAGCGGCACTGGTACCTCTCGGGGATGGACAGACCCCCATTTAGTAAAACGTGGTTTAGTGAAAACGACCTGAGGCCCAAACCTGGCGGGCGAAAGCCTGGAAAATAACGGCCACGGCGCCCTCTCGAGAACCGAAAACGGACAATTCACTAATCGACGTGTCACTGCTGGGGGTTCTGTCCACCCCCGAACCTCTTCCTCCTCGAGAAGAGGGAGAGGGGGGGCTCTCGTGGACCGGTCCTGCTTCTCCAGGCCCTTCATGCCGCCCTCCAGGTCGCCCAGGCCTTTCGTCTCCATGCCCTTCCAGTCCGGGTCGCGGTGCAGGATCCCCAAGGCGCCCGCGGCCCTGCCCCCGCCCGCGCTCTCCCCCCCCCCCCCGCGCAGGAGGAGATCGGGCAGGTGCCAGTCGGGCGTTGGCAGAACGTGGCACCCACAGAAACTGCCGGGGGCCCGTGCGAATCATCTGGACCGGGGCAAGAAGGCTGCCAGCGGAAGGCTGGGTCAGCGGAAGGCTGCGTCAGCCAGTGGGCCTCCGGCCCACTTTCGGAGGTCTGCCGAGTTTTCCAGGGGGTTCTCCAGGAGCGTAGGAGGAAAGTAGTCGGACGAGTGCTAATGGGGGAAGACCCACGTGGAGGGTGAAGAGAAGGGCCGTAAAGGTGCCCTTCAGGGCCCCTGTTGGAGCCGAGAGGGGCCCGAGAGGGGCCCGAGGAAAGAGCCCCTCTGAGGCCCTCTTCTTCACCCCCCGTCTGCGTCATCCCCCACTACCGCTCGCCTGGGGCGGCCAACCGCTGCGCACCTGCTCCGAGCACGCCCCCGGCTTCCCGAGATCCTGGCGCCGCAGCTTCCGGGAAGCAAAACATGGCACCCACAGAAACTGCCGGGGGCCCGTGCGACTCGTCTGGACCGGGGCAAGAGACCCACGCGGAGCGCAGAAGCTTCTGCTTGCGCAGCTATTGGTTCTCCGACTCCTGAGATCCTGGCGTCAGCATTCTCGCACCGAGAAAGTCTGCCCTGCTTCAGTCGGGCGTTGGCAGAAGTGGGTTGAGTGGGACCTGGTTTAGTGATGTGTTCTGGGGGACGCCCCCCCGCCCCGTTCCACTAAGCGGAATTGCCGCCACCGGAAAAAAACACCAGCTACGGCAGACCTGGTGTAGTGAGTCTGGCCAGTTGAGGTGCTCTGGGGCCCTACTACTGACCGGGTCCCCTTACCTGGGGTCCTGGCCATACCCGACTCAGGCCCCGGGACCCTCACAGATCTAGGGGGCCACACGCGAACCCTACCCCTACCCCCCACGATCTCTGAGGGGGAGGGTGGGGTTCACTTCGTTCGGGACCTCCCGAGTGAAGTGAACCCCACCCTCCCCCTCAAAAATCGTGAGGGGTAGGGGTAGGGTTCGCGTGTGGCCCCCTATAGATCGGAGCGGCTCGGCATGAGCTGCAGAACGACGGGGCCTGGGGCTCTGGGTTGTCCGACCCTAACCTTCCAGGAGGGCTAAAAAATAGCACCCGACCTAAAAACCTATCCCGGAGCTATTCTATGTCTTGGTTCTAGGCTCTTTCGTTTCGTTTCTAAGGCTTTTAGGCGTCCAGTGCTAAAAAATAGCTCTCTGGAAGGTCAGGGGAAGGGCACGCTCTGCGGCCGTCGGGGACGGGCCGGGGCCGCAGCCGTCGGGGAGGCGCTGGGGCCCGGGGGGGGGGGGGCGCTGGCCTGGCCAGCTCGGGAAGACGCGTCGACGCCAGGCCAGCCAAGAGTGAAGGGAAACTGGGACACACACAAATAAATAGACACAAATAACGAGATTCCCCATATTTTCCCATATTTTCTGGGGTTTCTGTCTTCCCCCCCACTTCCCATATTTCCCCATATTTTCTGGGGAATCGACGGTGAATTGTGTCTGTGTGTATTTTTCCCCGGCCAGCCAAGAGGCGGCTCCCGAGAGACACGCGACGCCTCGTTCTGTTCGGCGCACGGTCCCGAGAGAGCCCTTCCCCGGGGCCCGCTGCTCCTCCCGAGCCGTCCCGGGACCCAGCGAGGGCCCCCCTTGAGGCCGAGAGTGGCCAAAAGCCTGCCGCCGCGAGTTCTGCGCGGCGCCGAGCACGTCGAGACAGGGAGCGAGGCGGGCCCCGCGTGGCTTCCACACCAGACAGCATTCAGAGGGCATTCAAAAGCCAGATGGCGGAGGGCACTCCGCCAGAGGGCTCAGGGCCGAGGGCTGAGGGCAGTCAGAGGCGAAGCCAAGGCGCAGAGGGCATCCAGAGGCCAAGAGGCTTCCGGTCGGTCAGAGGGCATTCAGACGCCCCCGGCGGGGCTGACCCTCGCTGCCCTGAGCCCCGAGGTTCCGCGCCGACCCCCAGGCCAGGAATGCGCGTGCGGCCCGGCCCAGCGCGGGTGCACACAGTCGGCGCGCGTCCAACCTCCCCCGCAGCAGGCAAGATCAACTCCCGAAGACTCCTCCACCTCCGCCTCCACTCATCATCATCATCATCATCATCATCATCATCATCATCATCATCATCATCATCATCATCATCATCATCATCATCGTCGTCGTCGTCGTCGTCGTCGTCGGTCCGTCATCATCATCATCATCATCACATCATCATCATCACATCATCATCATTATCATCATCATCATCACATCATCATCATCACATCATCATCAGCATCAGCATAGCATGAGCATCATCATCATCATCAGCATCAGCATCAGCATCAGCATCATCATCAGCAGCATCAGCAGCATCAGCATCATCATCATCATCATCATCATCATCAGCATCAGCATCAGCATCAGCATCAGCATCAGCATCAGCATCATCATCATCAGCATCAGCATCATCATCATCATCATCATCATCAGCATCATCATATTCATATTCATCATCATCAACTGCATCATCACCACCAGCATCATCATCATCATCAGCAGCAGCAGCATCCTCATCCTCGTCCTCCTCCTCCTCTTCCTCCTCATCCTATTCATAATCATCATCAGCCGCAGCGTCAGCATCAGCATCAGCATCAGCATCAGCATCAGCATCCTCATGAGCATCATCATCATCATCATCATCATCATCATCATCATCATCATCATCATCAACATCAGCATCATCATCACCATCATCATCATCATCATCATCATCATCATCATCATCATCGTCGTCGTCGTCGTCGTCATCATTATCAGCATCAGCAGCAGCTTATCAGCATCACCATCAAAAGCAGCAGCAGCATCAGCAGCAGCGTCAGTATCAACATAATCGTCCGCATCATCATCGTCATCGTCATCATCGTCACCATCACCACCATCAGCATCATCATCATCCTCGTCATCATCGTCATCATCGTCTGCATCATCATCATCATCATCATCATCATCATCATCAGCATCATCATCATCATCATCATCATCATCATCATCATCATTGTCGTCACCGTCATCATCAGCATCATCATCATCATCAGCAGCACTACCACCATCTCCATCATCATCAGCATCATCATAGCATCATCGTCATCAGCGTCATCATCACAACCATCAGCATCATCACCATCACCATCATCATCATCAGCAGCATCAGCATCAGCATCATCACTAACATCATCATCATCATCATCATCATCATCATCATCATCATCATCATCATCATCGTCATCAGCATCGTCATCGTCATCGGCATCAGCATCATCATCATCATCATCATCGTCGTCGTCGTCGTCATCATTATCAGCATCAGCAGCAGCTTATCAGCATCACCATCAAAAGCAGCAGCAGCATCAGCAGCAGCGTCAGTATCAACATAATCATCCGCATCATCATCGTCATCGTCATCATCGTCACCATCACCACCATCAGCATCATCATCATCCTCGTCATCATCGTCATCATCGTCTGCATCATCATCATCATCATCATCATCATCATCATCATCATCATCATCATCATTGTCGTCACCGTCATCATCAGCATCATCATCATCAGCAGCACTACCACCATCTCCATCATCATCAGCATCATCATAGCATCATCGTCATCAGCGTCATCATCACAACCATCAGCATCATCACCATCACCATCATCATCATCAGCAGCATCAGCATCAGCATCATCACTAACATCATCATCATCATCATCATCATCATCATCATCATCATCATCATCGTCATCAGCATCGTCATCGTCATCGGCATCAGCATCATCATGATCACCATCATCGTCATCGTCGTCGTTGTCATCATCATCATCAGTATCATCATCAGCATCATCATCACCACCATCATCATCGCATCATCAGCATCATCGCCATCAGCAGCACCATCATCATTACTCAGAATCATCACTATCAGCATCATCACCATCATCACAATCATCAGCAGCATCATCATCATCGTCATCATCA